GTTCATAGCAGCACTATTTACAATAGCCAAGACATAGAAAAAACAAAAATGTCCATCAACAGACAACTGGATAAAGAAGATGTAGTATGTACATATATACGTATGTATGTATTTATTTATTAATTAATATATATATGTAAAAGTACTCAGCCATAAAAAAAGAATGAAATAATGCCATTTGCAACAACATGGATGAACCCAGAGATGACCATATTAAGTGAAGTTAAGTCAAAAACAAATATCATATGATATCACTTCTATGTGGGATCTAAAAAAAAAATGAATAAATCACTCTGCTTTATACTTGAAACTAACATTGCAAATCAACTACACTTCAATAAAAAATTTAAAAATAAATACATAAAATGTTAAGAGACAAGCAGGTTTATTTCCCACAAAGGGAGTCTAGCCTGCACACTTTCTGGACATGGTTCTACCCTATGTTGAACCAAAACTTGTCATTTCACCCTCACTACATGGATCGGTATCCTTGGGTGTGACTCTCATTCCTTCCTTAGCCTTGTTTTTTAAAAGCTAAATACACGGAGTTTCTTTAGCTATGTACCATTTAACAAGCTAACCACGCTCCTGAAGACTCTAGTTAGTGATGTCCTGAAATGCATCATTTAAAATTAAACCAAATAGCCTAAATGTACTCTGACCATTGCAAAAAAAATAATGGAACTATAATGACATGTTGGAGACATTGTAGGTCTAGTAGCGCAGCATATAGCCTTTTGGCTCCTATTGACTTTACAATCAATTAAAACCCCATGTGAAATTCCCTGAAAAGAGGCCCTGTTCCATAATAATTACTGTTGAATTTTGGAACTCCATGGTTAGATTTCATCTTGCTGACTTTGGGCTGCTCTGTTAGCCTGTCAAAATCTTTTTGAACATTGAGAATATCAGCTGTCCCACCAGCCCTCCCCGCCAGGTTTGTGTCATCTGCAGATCAAGTAAACCTGCCTTTGGTGTCTTCATCCAAGCCATCAGCAAAAACATTAAAGATGACAGGTCACTCAATCATTCATTCCAGCAGATACTCACGAAGCACCTACAATGTGTACAGCGCTCAGGGCAGAAATGAGAGGAGAAACGATTTGTATTGGGACAGATTCTAAAATTGTTTGCCTTCTGAAAACCCCTAATGTGAGGTGGACTTCTTTCCTTGAAGACCTAACTCAACTCATTAGGTACTTACTGATCACTTACTCTGTTGGCATCATGCTAAGCCTTGTTAAGGGAACAAAGGAGTCAAAAGTTACTACCCTCTTCTCTAGAAGCTGGTCCTCTCATCAGTGAGGCTGTCCTTTGATGCACAAGACACTTTATGCTGCAAGACAGGCAACGTTTATATAACTGACAAAATGAGTGGTACAGAGAACATCTTTGATTCTGGTTGAGACTTTTATGTCGTTTCATTTAAAGCTGCAAAAACAATGACAGATTTTTAGAGCTGAAAGGGACACAGAGGTCTTCTAGCACCATCTTCCCCTCCCACTTCCCCAATAATAGTTTCAACAAGTGGAGATCTATCTCTCTCTCGGGGACTTTATTAGCTCTTATAGAATGACACTGTAACATTCCCTATGTTGAGCCAAATTTCCTTCCCTTTATCTTTTCATCTATAGTCTAAGTACTCAATGGGCTTGTTAAAGAATTTAATGAATTCTGATTCTTCTCTCTGATGTCAAGGGAAGAAAAAATAGGTCTGCTCCAACCATTTGAAGGCGACAATGATGTTCTCATTTAGTCTTTACTTTTCTAGCCTAAATATCTACAATTCCTTCATCTGACATGGTTTGGAGACCTCCCCACCCCTACGTCACTCTTGTCATTCATGTCTCGCTGCCATGCCTGGCAAAAAGCAAGCATTAAAGATATGTCAACTGAACAAATATATGAATAAATGAACTGGGAAGCACCAGTTTGTCAATATCAGCCTCAAAAAGAAATGCCCAGAACTACGAAACGTGTTGCTGAAAAGGTCAGAAAAGTGGACCCATTGCAGTTTGCTAGCTCTGAACACTGTTCTTTCCATGCTACTTAGACCCAGCTTCTTCTTTTTGTCTTTGCACATGAGGAGGGGGAAAGCCACTAATGATTCATACTGTCTGTAGCCCACTAAAGTCTGTAATTGGAAAATAGTGGTCAAGACTCATACGATTGTATATCAAGAGAGGCTAGACCACAGTGTTTATTTCCACATGAGAAAGAGTGGTATGTCTTTCTGGGTGTGTGTGTCTTTCTAAGGTCATGCTGGTACTCTGATCTCCATGGCACCTAAGCCCCTTGGGAATTTGAAGGCTTTGGACTATTCTGCAGAGGAGGTCTAGGGGGGTGGGCACAGCACAAAGCCTAAAGGGAAAGACAGGATGAGCTGACGTTCTACTAAGTGGAGGCCATGAAGCTCAGTTTCAGATGGGCCCAGTTATCCCCATTCAATTGTCAGACATTCGATACGTCAGTGACACATTCGATATGTCAGTGGCAGTGTTCCCCACAGGGAGAAATTTCTCTCAAATTAAAACATCCAGGAAAACTTGAGACCAATGAGTCCGATAGGAGTTGGGATCGTCCTGGCGTCAGCTTACTTAAGGCTGCAAGCAGAGTCAGGCAAGAAGAACCCACTGGGAGGTAAAGGAAGCACCTGCCGCGAAGACGCCACCACCAGCAGGCACTTGGCTCGGTGAGCACCGGCACTTACTGAACACCAGCCTGTGGACAGACGTTTATTTTCACTCCCCCAAATAAAACCAGCAGCTAGGCATGATGATCACCATTTACAGTTGTGGAGACTGAGGCTGAGAGAGGTTCTGAAACTTGCCCAGAGTCACGCAGATCCACGTGGTGCAGCCAGAATGAGGCCCCCGCCTGACAGCCTCCAAAGCTCCCAGACCCAAGCATCAAGGCCACAGGGCTTTGTTCATTCTGCAACAAAGACTGTATCGAGCGCCCTCAGTGGCCCGGGCCTGTGCTAAGCTCTGCAGATACAGTGGTAAAAAAGACACACACAGTCCCTCATGGGGCTAAGCCCGCTGGCGGGAACAGCAAACAGCCAAAGAAGCGACCGCAGTCAAGTGGGACCCACGCTGCGGCAGGAGAGGTCAAGGTGAACTCACCCAGCATGCGGGAACAAGAGTCCTTCTCAATGAGACAGGCCCTAGAAAGAAGCTTAAAGGATACGCTCGCGAGACCAAAGAGTAGGGGAGAGAGGCAGAGTGGGAATAAACTCTTGAGATTTGGAGGCAAGTGGGAGACAATGCTGTGTGCTGAGTGCAGAGGAGAGTGGTCAGAGGCTCCCACGAGGCTGGAGAGATGGGCAGAGTGAGATTCCAGAGGCCTTGGAAGCCGGGGTCAGGGAGGTGGAGCCGGGCTGGAATTGGCAAGGCGAGGACATGCAAGGGCACAGGGATGTCACCTCATTGGATCTCACAGATTCTTGGGGGGAAAGGGAGGCTGGGCTAAGACAAACGCTGCCCTGTAGATGGACACCCTGGGAAGGCATTCCACGCTTCCACGTGGGCAGTTTTAATCTCTCTTTGTGAAACCAGCTCTAAAAAGTCTCCGAACTTCTCCCATCTCCTCTCTTTTCCCTCCCCAGGGAGGGTGGGTGAGTCTTGGGTGGGCGCAGCTAGTCTAGACCCTTTCTTTATGTGACCCACCAAGCCTTAGACAGATTGCTGCTTTCCCACTTGACAGATGAGAAAACAAAGGCTAGTGACTGTGCAGACGGGATTATTGGTTCCAGTTCATCAGTCCCTTGAACAGCTTTATGCACCTCTACCCCGGCAGGGCTGTGTGGTACGTGCACTGTATCTCTCCCCGCTTGGACTTTGGGTTTCATCTTCTAATTTGACTCGGCCAGTGAAACATTAGCAGACATGATATGAGCAGAGGCTTGACATGTGCTTTATGCTTGAGCATGCCTTCTTGCATGTTTGCCACTGCCAAGAGGAGACCATACTCTGCAGCTGTTGCTTCTCAAGCCTGGGCTCCAGACTGAATCACACAGAGCAAACTTGAACCTGGTTTACAGCCTAGAGCTAAACTCAGCTGAGATGGGCAGTTTCCAGGCAACTTGAAGACATTCAGCCTAAAGCGGAGCCACTTCTGTTAACCCAGAGACAAGTGAATGTGTGACTAAGTGTTTACCGTTGTATGCCATGGAATTTGGGGGTAATTTGTTATGCAGCATCATCATGATGATACCTGACTGATAAGAGCTTACTCTGAGCTTACAGAGAAACTTCCTGGAATGCACAGTGCTGCCTTGCCATGGGACAAGGCTGCCCTGGAGGCTGGCCCTCTAGGGAGAAAGCAACGCAGACTGCCGCCACCGCACTCCACTCTCCCACCCCGTGCCCCCTGCCCGCCGCGGCACTCACCTGAGTCTGATGCTGCTGGGCTCACCAGGCTGAGCAGCTCCCGCTCCTTCTCGTAGTCCCCTTTGCAGAGCAGCTGCCCCTCCTTCAGGACAAACTCATCGCCCTTCTGGAGCTGCCGCTCGCAGACGCAGCAGCAGAAGCAGCTCAGGTGGTACACGCTCTTCTGGGCCCGCATAACAAACTCGTTGGGTGCGATGGCCTCAAAGCAGCCGCCACATTTGACAGCAAACAGCCTGGCAGCAGGAGAGAAAGGAAAGCAAGGTCTGTGAGGAAGATCCAGCTGGGACCCAGGTCTCCCCTCAAGTCAATAGCGAGAGGAACTTCCAGAACGAGGAGAAGGACACTTGGAATGGAACAGACTTTAAATCCAGATGCTCTATTCCTTGAGGTTGAACCGAGGAATTCAGCTGAGTCACTCTCTCAAAGGCTTAAGAGAAGCAGCGTCAGAGGCACTGGAAGAAGCGTGAGCTAAAGCCCGGGTGTATTTGGCGTGGTCCACAGCACAGGGTTCCCAAAGGGTGCTCTACAGACTGGCGCCCGGAGTTTCCAGGGGGCTGATTATTAAACAAAATAACAGTAACTAAAAGATCCGGGCCCATTCTGATCAGCATGCAAAAGGGCGGGCCCTAGAATGTGAATTTTTAACAAGCTCCCCAGGGCATTCTGAGGTGTAATCTAGTTTTTGGGAGACAAACTGCATCCCGGCTCCCCAGCCTGACGTTCAGTGGATCCCGCCCAGCTCTCAGGACTTAACTCTTATCTCATTTCACTCACTTTCAAGCAGCCACACAGAGGGCGCCTATCCAGGCCAAGCAGAGGCAGTCGGTACTAGTGATGTACAGGTGAATAAAAGAAAATCCCTTCCAGAAGTGAGCTCAGGCTAACAGGAGAGATAGATACGTCTAAGAAACTGAGCCAAGGCTTGGGGAATGGATAGAAGCTGCCTCCTGCGAATCTCCCGGGGAACAGCCTCCCTGGACAGAGGCCAGCCTGCAGGTGACTCCAGCACAGCTGAGGATTAGACGTGCATGTGCTGTCTCCCTCCTAACCCAGGCCTTGGGCCCCTACTCCAATCCTCCCTGCCCTCGGCCATCAGAAGCACATCAGAAACACCCTCCCTGACCTGCCTTCCCTCTGCCTCTCAATCTCAGAAAGCGGGGTGAGGGTTGGGGAGCAGTGCCAAGGGCTAACATGGCTCTTTCAACACTCACAAAGGATGTGACAGCCCCAAAACAGAACTCGGGGTACCACAGCCCTGCCCCTGCCCTCTCCCTTCCTCCAGCTGCCCAATGTGGCTGTGTTGTCCATGTCTGGACCTCAGGGCACCTCGGGCCCTTGAAGCACAGCCCTTACTCCCTGCCCCCAAGCTGGGTGTCGTGCCTCGGACAGAAAATCCACCCAGCTCATCCCCGGCCCCGAGTCCCTAGACACTGTTTGCCAACCGGAGCAAACTCATCAGTGCTGTAACAGGCGCCAGGCAAAGGCCCTTTGTCCCCAAGCCCTCCTTCTCCTCCCCGTGCCCCGGAATGACCTGTTAAACAGACTCAAGGCAAAGGCTCTCACACGTCCTTGAGAATCCACAGCCACAGGTGGTGACATCCGTGCATGTCTAGCTCCTGCCTGTCAATCTCCTCCTCTTCCTCCTCCCTCCTTCGTTGCATCCTCCACTCCAAAAGTTTCCCCCAAGGTGGACAAGGGATGGTTAGGGTGAGCTCAACAAAGAAATCCCACCACGTTGACTCAGGAAGGGCCAGGGGAAGTGGCGGGAGTCGCCTGGGCTCAAATCCTGAAATGGTCACGATCAGTGAGGATACAGACCGGGAAGAGGGGGGCAGTCCTGTTCCTCTCCATTCTCTCCATCGGCTCCCCCCGACTCTGGGTAAAGACCAGGTCGACCTCTCCTTGCTGCCTTGGCTCTCGTTACCCTCGCTCACCCCGGAGCAACCCAAGGAGCAAAGGCACACGCCGTCCACCACCTGTGTGCCAGATGTGTACACAGCTGGACGGGTACCACTGTGGACCCAGCTGCCGACTACACACTTCCCACAAGTTGTTTTCTCTAAGGCTCAGACAAGCAGAGAAAAGGATTTGTTCCAAAGTCCAGGTCGTAATTAAAACACAGCCTGTCTCTTCCCAATGCCCTGGATGGCGGCCCCCATGGCGACTTCCCCCTCTGAATGCTAATGAGACCTCACTCTGGGTTCGGAGCCTGGCAGCCCGGCTGTGCCCTGGAAAGCTGAGCACGGCTTCCAGAAATGTCTAGCTCTTCTAGACAGGCATGACAACTCTCCACGTCGCCCATCGTTAAAAACTTGCCTACCTCTGAAAGCCCTTCAAATAGTTCTTTGTCTCTTCGCTGCATCTAATTCCCTCACCTGTAACAGGAGAATGACAGGATCTAGCTGGAGGGGAGGCACCCAGTGTGGAGCCTGTCCCAGCGGCCCGAGCTCTCTGTCAGCTCCCCCTCCCCTACTGCACGCCCTCTGGGGGGCAGGCAGGAGGATGGGGTGTGTACAAGGCTGCCCTGTCCTCAGGGAGCTCACGTTCTCCAGCACGAAGCAGGCTCCACGCACGTGACCACAGGAGGGTGTGTTGAGGGTAAGTAGGAGGGGACTGGCCAGCATGGGCCAAAGCAGAGCCCCATCCACTTGGCTCAGACTGAGGGCCACTGAATCTTCCTTCTCGCCCTTCCCTCCCCCTCCCCCCACATCCCTCTCCTTCCCCCTCTACCAGGCAAGGGAGTAGAGACTGGCTGAAATTCCATGCAGCCCCTTGCTTCCACCCCTCCTTGTACAGCCACAAGCTCCTAGACGTGCAGGCTGGAGTTGCAGTGAGAGTCGCGACGTCCAGTCAGTGTGACTCAGAGCCCATCACTTGATCCTTTGCAGCCTCAGTTTGCAGACGTGTAGGAGGCAGTAACGATGCCTACACTCCTGGATCACTGAGGATCAAATGAGAGCAGGTATGAGGAGGAACTTTGTGACCAATAAGGTAGAGCACAATTCTGAGTTACTTATATCTGCCCCGCCTCCATCTTTTCACCTTTGTGAATATTTGTTTGTTTGTTTGTTTTTGCTCCAAAGGTGGCTCTCCATGTTGAGTTTCCTGGGCCCTGTCCTAAGAGAATCCTTCTTCCTCAGCAGCAGGGGTCCTTCTGCTGACTCCGCCCAGCTCTGACAGGGCCTGACTTCTTCTCTAAAGAGTGACTCAGGAGATGAACGCGGGGACACACGCGTCGCGGGGCCGCCAGACAGACACACACCTTAGACAAGGCGCATCCTCTCGCCACAGTGCACCGAGATCATGCGAGGGAAGGAGTGTTTCTCGTAACTGCCCTGTATGAGGCGCCCTGGAGGGCAGCCAAGAAGGAAAGGAAAGGTGACCCGATTCAGGGAAAGAGCACAGGACTTGCAGGAGGAAGACCTGGGCTCAAAGGTTCTTCTTTAACCCAGAGGCCTCTGAAAAGCCCCCATCTTTCCCTGGGCCTCCGTTTTCTTAACTGTAACGGGAAAGTACTGCCCTAGATCAGTGCGCTTCATCAAGAAGTTAGAGGCTGAGCAAGGGGTCAGTCTTAGAAAGTTCCCCAAGCCTCCTCACGTCACACCTCTCAGCCAGAGAGGCCACCCTGCCTGCACCTGAATCCAGGTCTCCAGACAGTGTCTCAGCAGGACACACCCTTGCAGGGGTAATTCTCCAAACAAGTATCTTCCAGAACCATGCTGTTCACAGATCTATGTACACACACACACACATACACATATGTATATATATAATCACATATATAGATGTAATATATATCTAAACAAAACAGCTAAGGCCAAAAAAGATTATAATGTATGTATGAACACAAAGACATACAAAACATACATACACACACCAGCTAAAACCAACAACTCATTCCCATCCTTTCTCTCTCTCTCCCCATCTATATAGTTAGTATAAATATATATATATTTCTAGAAAGAATTTTCTTTATTTCTCTATCTATCTATCTATTTATCTATCTATCTATCTATCTATCTATCTCTAGAAAAGATTTTGTTTGAAGAAAGCAGTTTGCCCTAGGGGAACATTGAAATCTCACCACGCTGGATAATCTCTTAACTCCCTCCCATTTTTATGATTCATGCTTTTATTACAGGGCTGGGGACCCTACTCTGCAGCAAAGGAGATGAGGATGTTTTAAAAGCAGATACAAAGGCCTGACACGTGAAAAACTCCTACAGAACAAGTCTCAGGCGATCAAGATAGAGGCCAGACCTCTAGGAAGCGATGGCACATCCTGTCCTGTGGAGGTTCCAGCGGAAAGACGGCGGGCAGCCAGGCCACCGTGTGGGCACCTGGGCTCCGTGCTGGTTATGTGAGCTCAAGAAAATCGGTCACCAGCCTAGACATTGGGGTCCTCACCATCAGAATCTATTTCATCCCCCAAGTTATTTTACTGCAAAGAAAAAGAAGCTTGTAACAGACAGAAAAAAGGAAACTGGTATTTACTGAACACTCATTTGGTGCCAGGAATTTTGGTGTCTCTGACATTTCTTACGTCACTAAATTTGTGAGACAAGAGCACATGAAATTGTTATATGGACTCAAAGAGAATCTCACCTTATTTCAGCTCAGCTTGGTTCATGAGGCTTCTCTTCCACAAGAGAAAGAGAGAGACTCTGGGACAGCAGACTCATAGCTTCTTTTTCCCAATTTCTCTCTTATAACCTCTCTAGCACTATTGTCAGAGGAGAAATAGGCAAAATGATCAAGCCGCTTAGATGGCTGCCTCAGCTCCCGCGAGGTTTCCCGGAAGGGCCCGTGGCTCTGGAGGAGGTCCTGAGGCTCTGCTGCCCACACGCAGATGAACAGGCAGGAGTCAGGCACTAAGTCCATCCCTTCAGCTACTCAGCTCTTGGGCCCCGAGGTATCTGAAGGGATCCCCAAAAGAGGTGCGTCCTCTATGGATTTAGGTTAAGAACAACAGTGTCTGGACAATGCTCTTTGACCCAACACCACCATGCTCTGATACCAAAAAGATTGGGAAACAAGACAACCCTTCCTAGAACCCCATTTGCTGGGGAATTTCCACGGCATAGGCAGAAATGTAGGCCAGTGAGGCTGGACCCAGAAAGACCCAAGGAAGCCCACCCAGAGAGACCGGGTTGTAGAAACAGTAAGACAAGGAGGCAACATGGTGTAATCAAACTTAGATCCAAGTCGCTATTTCACCACTTATTGGCTATGT